ATTCTCTGAGAACACAAGTGAAATTAACATAAACAGTAGGAGGAAGGACTCATATGTAAATGAGGAAACTCAACATGCATGCACACACATACTGGACTCTAAACTTTAGAGACACCTGAATAGTCTAGGACAGTTTAAGTTAGAAATGATAGATTTCTAACTTAAACTGTCCTAGATATGCTATAGGAGAAAATCCCTGAACATTTACTTTGTGTCTCTTGTTTTACCTGAGACAATCTTGAATCACCAGTCTCATGAGACCTTCCTGCATCAGCATCCACAATAGCTTTGACCTTGGATGCAACACCCTGCCCAGCTAAGAACATCCTCTTTCATTAGCATCCCATCTAAACTGTTGTAAAATCTGCCAGATTAACTGCTGGGATAACTTCTCACCATTTCCAGCATCACCTACCTCAGGCTCCACATGTTCTCAATGCTCTCAGCTACATCACTGACATCCCATATAACTTACTATCTTCCACTTAGTAGTCACAATAATCCACTAAATGTCAGATCAAATTATGCTGTTTTTCTGCTGAAATCTGCAGTCTTTTTTCTTTCTTTCTTTCTTTCTTTCTTTCTTTCTTTCTTTCTTTCTTTCTTTCTCTCTCTCTCTCTCTCTCTCTCTCTCTCTCTCTCTCTATCTATCTTTCTTTCTGGGTTTTTTTTGTGTGTGTTTTTTTTTTCTTTCTTATTTTCAGGTATTCAGTCAAATGCCTTCCAAGTCTCCTTTCTTGTCACCTCTTTGACAGCCTTTTTTTTTTCATGGTCACACTTCAGCCACCTCAACATTCCTGGAGTTCTCCTGATACTCCAGTGTATAGCACACTCTGTGTGCACCATGGTCTTTCCATACTGCTTTTGTTCTATTTGAAGTGTTCTGTCTATACGTGCCATGGCAGCTTAGGTTCTCAAGGTCTTCCTGCCATTTCACATATTACTGTTTGGAGGCTGTTCCTGACCCTCATGAAATGGGATCCCTGTCTTCACCCTGTATTTCTAAACCTGGTAGAGTGCTTTATTTCTCTTCACAGCAATTATAACCATTGAGCATATTGGATGATATTTGCTTGACATGTGTCTCATTAATATGAAACAGAAATTTCACAACTCCACAAGAGCAAGAGTTTTGTCAAATTCATTCACTGACAAAGTCTTAGAATGGAAAACAGAACATGACAGGCAATTAGACTGAGAAAATATAAAGTGAATTAAATATGTGAATCATTACCAATCTACTGTCCTGGCCCTGGGACACACTTTAAATTGGGGATATTAGCTTCATGCACAAGAGCCCATCCATAAGTCCCTAGTTGTCTGTATTGCTCATGCCCAGAAAAGTTGAAATGGCTTTTTGCATTAACCTACCCACAGTTTCCACCCCAAGACATTTGGTGGATCAGTGGATCAGACATTAAGTGGATCAGTCAACATTGTGCATGTGATAATTTCTATTGAATAAAAAAGAGATAATTTAAGGATTCAGCATTGCATATCATACCAAGTCTTATCTTCAAAAGACTTGAACTATTTTCTCAACAGAAGCTGTATGATGGTAATATATAAAGAAACTAGTACTTTAATTTTTTTCCCGACTTAAGGAAAATTACTCATTTAATCTAGGTGTCTAGCAAGACTTGTAGAGGGCTGGAAGACTGGGAGAACCTTACACATTTCCCACCTAGTCTAGCTAACCGAACTGACGTCAGTCCTACAAGATTAAAAAAAAATAGATGCTCATGTCTCTATTTTGGGGTCTTGGTGTCAACATGTGTCTTGTTTTTAAGAAAGGAAGCGAAGCAAGTGATGGGATGTGTGAAGCACAATGCTAAGCAGTGAGAGGAGGAAAATAAGACTCCAGGGAGGAGCCAGGCCTTGCCCCCAGCTACAGCATCAGACTGCAAGGCTGTTGCTCCGCAATGGAAGACCAAGATGTGGTACCAAAGTGTTTATTCAAGTTCATAGTGAATTTTAGAAATTACATGGATTTTATGTTGATGAAAAGACACCGTGGAGGAAAAAAGAGACATTGAAAATGTTATGTCTTTATTCAGATTCAGTTTCAAAAGACTATTGAGTATGAATGTTCATTCTGAAAAGCCCAGTAGTCTATGTTTCTAAATCAAGAATAAACTCGGATACTTAACTTCACAAAGAAAAAATATATTCACTTTACTGTGTCTGAGACACCGCTTTATTGTGTGCTGGGGAAGAAATGGAGCTATATTTTCAAGAATCTCGTATTTCAGGAATAACACTTGAAATTCTTTACAGTTGAAAACCCTAACATACGGTATTTGAAGATATTATCAGCCTGAAAACCATTCCCTGTTTGTCTGATATTGTCAACATTGAATAATTCCTTAGAAGAGTTGTGAGACAGCAGTACGTGGGTGCAGCAGCATACATCTGTGCAAAGTAAATCCTTGCAGACAACTGAATCAACATTTTAAGGCTATGACCACTGAAGTGTTGGGGAATATTCTTCTAAGATGTGTTACATTCGTTTATGCTGTAGAATATTTGTTTAATGATGCAAAGATGTGTTGCACTCTTTTATGTTGCCTTTGTTTAACTCTGTAAAGCTGTATTATTTTGCCTGCCTAAAATACCTGATTGGTCTAATAAAGAGCTGAATGGTCAACAGCTAGGCAGGGGAGAGAAACTGGTGAGGGTGACAGGAAAGGAGAGTAAATAGGAGAAATCGAGAAGATGAGGCGGGGAGGGAGGAGTGAGAAAAGGAGGGAGAAGGATGTCAAAGGCCAGCCACCCAGCCCCACAGCCAGCCATGGAGTCAGAAGGACAGAAAGACAGAAAGCAAGGTTAAAAGCTCCAAGGCAAAATGTAGTTAAAGAGAAGTGGGATAATTTAAGCTAGAAGAGCTGGCTAGAAACGAGTAAGTTAAGGCCAGGAATTCATAAGTAAGAGTAAGTCTCCATGTATTTATTTGGGATCTAGGTGGCAGGTCCCCAAAGAGGGAAAAAAAGAAAGAAAGAAAGAAAAGAAAAGAGAAGAAAAGAAAAGAAAAGAAAAGAAAAGAAAAGAAAAGAAAAGAAAAGAAAAGAAAAGAATTACATTGAAGCCACCCAGGACATGGAAATTTAAGCCCCATTCACTGTGTCTGTACTTTTCCTTAGAATGCCCATGTTATGCCATCAATAATTACGGACTTAAAAAAGTCCCAACACTCTAAACTTTATTAGAAGTTGAACATTAATACACATATTATTTCAAAACATTCTTTCTCCTGTTAAAGTTGACGCCAACTGTTTTCTTATTCAGGGAATTCTTGTACAAACTACCTCTAAGCAGTCATCCTCTGACACCGCCCTGATTATTTTCAGAGCAGGCATCACCTCACTCCCCCTCCCCTTTTTTTTTTTACATCACACTGCTGTCTTGATCACTGAAAACATGTCCACAGATGCAACCTTTAAATAATGGTTGGATGCAATTGATCACAGTGTGTGTTTAGTGATTTGACTTCTGAACTAAAATTCAAAATCTCATTTTTGGTTGTCACTTGGGGTTTACCCTTTTCTAAATATCAATATGTGAGAGATAGTTTCAAATGTTCTTAGAATAAATACAATCTCAATTTCCCCCTTATCTCTCACTGCACGATCAGTTATAGAATCCAATCAGTTCTAATCTCAGGGAGAATCTGAAATTCATGCCCACATTTAGGCTTGATTCAAATGATTCCTAATTCAATTCTTCATCATGTCATGCAGATTGCAGTTAAGAGCCTTTTATCTCGATTTATACTAATTATGTTTGCAGTCTTTCCAATAACTGTAACATTTCCTATTTTCTGCTATAACCTCCTGCCAAGCAGAGCAGGATTTACAGTGTAGGTCTGTGCACCATATGCATGCAGATGCCCACAGAGGCCAGAAGGGGGCATCGATCCTCTAAAGCTAGAGTTACAAACAAATACGTTTAAAGCTAGCCAGGCACCTCTTTATCATCTTTGATTAAAAAAAAAAAAAAAAATGGCCGGGCGGTGGTGGCGCACGCCTTTAATCTCAGCACTCGGGAGGCAGAGCCAGGTGGATCTCTGTGAGTTCGAGGCCAGCCTGGACTACCAAGTGAGTCCCAGGAAAGGCGCAAAGCTACACAGAGAAACCCTGTCTCGAAAAACCAAAAAAAAAAAAAAAAAAAAATGGTGTGAAATGTAACCATTTGCTTGCTAATCACATTCTTTCATCTTGAGTGATAAAATAAAATAAAACAAAACAAAACAAAAAAACCAAACCAAACAAACAAAAAACCAGCAAACTTTTAAAATCCAGCATAAATGATTAAATACATCCTTCTGCAAAACTATTTCTTAGCCTTTCAATGGTGTATTTCCAGCCTTTGGTTTATGTGGTAAGCACAAAGCATGCTGATTGTTTATTTATTTATATAATTTTGAAAAGATTTGGAAAAAAATTCTTGTGTATGGGTGCTTTGTCTGCATTGACATCTCTGCACACATGTGTGCCTGGCACCCACAAACAAGGTCGTTAGAGCTCCTAGAACTGGAGTTACAGACAGTTGTGAGCCACCATGTGGGTGCTGGGAATTGAACCCAGGTCCTCTGGAAAAGCAGACCATACTGCTGAGCCATCTCTCCAGTTCCTTATGCAATTATTTTTTACTCTCCAACAAAATTTGCTTGCTGACTAAAACCCTATTGACCTTATAAATTGTGGGGTTATCATCTTCCTCGGGGGTTTAGGCTGCACTAGAATTCACAGTTCTCCTGCTTCTGCTTCTGACTGCTGGGGTAATGGGTAAGTATCACAATGTCTGAATCAATTCATTTGTATTAGTGACACCAATAAACTGCATTGCTTAGTAAGCAATATTGTCATTTTGTTTTTTGGTAATTGAACATAATCCATTTGATAACAACAAATAACACACCACTGACCTTTGGATTCTGTTCAATGAATACAGGTCTAGTACTAAGTCTAAAACAAAAACACCTAGTTATAAAGAATAGATTAGTCTTGTGAACGCTTTGGCAATACACACATTAAAATTGGAATGATGCAGAGATTAGCATGGCCCTCAAGCAAGGACGACACACAAATTTGTGAAGTGTTCCATAGTAAAAAAAATAAATGAATATGTTAGTCTTGATAAGGTGAATAAATATAATATGCTACATGATGCTACTGTGAAAATTACATCTTAAATGAGTATTTAGCTGACACAAGATTTCCTGGGGTGGGGTGTGAAATTTAGTTCATTCCATTTTGGCTTAACTCTTTTTTGTAGAATTATTTTTCCAAATGTTGTATTAAATTTCTTGATATTATTTATCTTTTGAAAATCTGACTATACTTGGACATTCTCCTATTCATATGTTTTAGCAAAGGGTAAATCTTCATTTGCTAGAAACTGATATACATGGAGACACTTTTTAATTAAAGATATGTTGAAACATTTTACTTAATTATTTTTGAAGAAAACTATTGCAAGATATATTGCCTGTTTCCCCACCAAGTTAATTGGACCACAGACCTTCTTATCTTGATGAATTGAAGGCATGATTTTAAGCATTAGTTATTATCCTCAGTCTTAAGACTACCAGAGGGGTAAGGAAGAGGAATTGCAGGAGTCAGAAGGGTCGAGGATACCGGGAAAGCATGGCATGTAGAATCAACTAAGCAGAGCTCACGGGTGGCGGGGCTCACAGAGACCGAAGTGGCATTCATGGAGCCTGCTTGGGTCTACGCTAGTTCTTCTGCACATATGTTATAGTTGTTGGCTTGGTGTTTGGGGCGGACTCCTGACAGTGGGAGTGGGGGGGTTTCTGATTCTTCTGCCTGCTCTGGGATCCTTTTGCTCCTTCTGGGTTGCGTTACCCAGCCTTGATGTGAGGGTTTGTGCCTAGTCATATTGTAACTTGTGCTGTATTTGGTTGATGACCTTGGGAGGCCTGCTCTTTTCTGAAGGATATGGGGTGGGGGTGGGAGAGTAGTGGGGAGTGGAGGGAGGGGAAGCTGTAGTAAAGATACATTGTATGAGAGAAGAATAAGTTAAATTTTTAAAAAAAGACTATCTTTTTCAAAAGCAAGGTCTTGGGAATCAGTTACCACATTATGGGTTCTAAACTAGGGTACATCATTGCGGTACATTCAGCAGTTATCCATATTATGCAATTTGATGCTAGTAGACAAAACTTGGGAAACTCCTATTTGTACAGAACAGTTCCCAGTGCCAACCACCAAGCTATACTAAGGTCTTAGGCAGTGTTTGGGGACAAATCATCGATACATAGTCCTTTTCAGTGGTCAGTCAATAACACTGTTTGCGTTTCTTATTCACAGAAGATAAGCTTCAGATTATGGATAATTGAGACTATGTAAGTAATCAAACAGCTGAATAGTTATACTATTCTTATGCAAGACTAAAGGCAATTAAGTGATATAAAAGAAAGGAGACAAATGTAGTGAACACATCTTATTGCAAATGAGATATACAGAATATTCAAACATATAATAATAATGAATCAAAATAAATGTAAGCAATAAATGTTTACTTATGTTTAAGTTATGGACATAATATTTTGTAGCTAACAATAATAATAATAATACTATAAGTAATTTGATATGTTATTTTTCTGAAATATGTTAAGCCAAAATTTAAACATATTTGACTCTGAAATAGTCTTTGATTCCTTTATAGTAATTTTAAAATACATTCTCAAAATATGACTGATATTGACCTGATAATATATTTTATTTTTTATCTTTGAAACTTCCTTATATCAACCAGACAGGCCTCAAACACCACAGACAAATGTTGAGATTAGTAATAATAATAACCCCATATTACCCAGAGCTCCATTGTTTTTATGTGATTATAATTGTAGCATGGCAAATAAAAGAAAATCTTTCTGAATCACAAAAAAAATTAAGACAGGAAGCTTTAAGTTAGTAGTAAAACTAAATTTTAATGAAATCAATTTGTGTAATAATTAAGAAGACAATTTCTTTGTTCTTAACCAATTTTCATCTGCAAAGAGAAATATGCCATTTCCATAATACAATTACTGTTGGTTCAGTAGAAAGCATTGTGTGGGTTTTATTCCTCTGTAGTCTATAATGAAATGCTACTGTAACCTCAACTAAAAGAAGAAAACCTGTTGTTTTGTGTGTCTTTATCATTTTAGAATCCACTCCAGGAATCTGAGCAATCCATTGTGCCCTGGAAGGTGTTTCAGAAAATCATGGCACTAGCACACCCACGTGTCCCCTAGACGCATTCTGAAATGTTCCACATAAATCTCACACATGCTCAGAATACTTAGAGAGGAAGCAACTCAACAGTCTATGAGCAATTCATGGAAGAAAGGGAACCTTCATTTTTTTTTCAAAATCACTGATGTATAATATTCCATATTGTATTTGATAGATAGCAAGGAACACTTAGCAAATGTAAAAATAAGCATATATTAACCTTTAGAGAAATATGTAGAGAAACACACAATAGACCTATGGATACTCTAAATAAGTACATGCAGAGGGAAACATGTATGTATGTATGTGTGTATGTGTATGTACCTATATAAGTATGTATTGTCTGCTTCATTTACACTGAAATATTCACTCCCGGGTAGAAGAGGGACTATTATAGACTCAGGATGACAAAGAAACCTACAAGGCTAGAGAAGCTCACAAACTTCTAAGACTCAGGATACTCAGAAAGTTACGATTCTTGAAAGCCTCTGCATAAGGTTATATATGCAGTGGACAATTGCTGCAGGAGGAAGGCAAGTTCTTCCGTGGAGGCACCTACAGGGTGGGTAGAGATCCAGGAATGTGACTTTCATGAGTTTTATTCACAATGAGATGGGCTTCTCAGCCATGAGGCTGCCTCTGATGATCCTCTAAATAACCAAATAACTGCTCACCCACATTCTTACAAGTAAGCCCTGGTTCACCCAGCTGTACTTCCATGGAACACTTTTTAAGCCTGTCCTTGGTGCACCATGTCAGTTCACTAGACCCTCTTAACATGTCTTTGGGAAAAGCTGTAAAACACAACTACAGTCTGAACCCTTGCTCACAGAATCAAAGCTGTGTTTGGAAAGAGCAGTTGCACGGCAGCTCCTAAACCAGGTGATAAAGCATGTACCCGAGACTGAAATGTTCAGGGACAATTCCAAAATGGCTCCCTTTCCCCATGGGATATGGGGTATACGTCTCCTTGCTTGAGTGACAGGTATGTGCCCCTGGCTATGGTATTACATTCAACTGGCATATACAGAGCTATCTAAGAGTAGAGCATCCTGGGATGAGGAGATCCCACGGGGGAATGAGGGCTGTCTTGTTCTATGTGGTATTGTGGTTTTCATTTGATGACACTGAAATCCTCCAAATGACCTATAACTGGAACTGTAATCCCTGGAGATACCACATAGGAGATGGGATTATCAGCAGGTTGTGGTAACAACTGCACAGCCATTCATTCCTCTGGGTGATAGAAAACATTTGTAACTCAGGCTCATGTTTCTGTCTAGAAATAATTTGTGTACACAAGGAAGGAAGTGCAAATGGTAAGCACACACAGAGACACTATTTTCTGCACTAGTCTCTGATTCAGAAGCAAGAAAAATAGAAAACAGAGGATGATATGGAAGTGTTGGCTTGCTGTTTCCTATAGCCAGCTATACGAAAGAGTAAAAAAAGTACAGGTTATATCTGTACTAAAGGGCCCTTCTTGGGATCCCTACACATAGAACCTTGGGAAGACTCAGAGATGGAGATAATAGTGAAATTTCTCAAGTCTGACCTTTAATACAGAAAGGGAAAATTCATGGTCCAATTAACAGACGTGGGCCTTACTAATAGTCCAGTGTAGGAAGTCATGATAATTGCTTGGATTGTGAAAGGCTTTTGAACAAGAAATGAACGGTTTCAAAGTTTGGCTCATGTGGTTGTGGGACATAGCTGCAGATGGGATCAGTCTGAGTGCCATGATGTAGAGAAACTGAATAATTCAACTAACTCCTCCTGCCTCCCTGAGACAAAGGCTGAATAATCAAAGGCAGCACGGGGAAAATTAGTCCCTGAGAGACTGGCTTATAAAAGCCATTAGGGACAGTTAGCTATTGCCAGCTGAGGTCACCAAGAGTACTGGGGACTGGATAATAACAGGAAAAAAAATATTAGTGAGGGAAATGTGCATTTGACAGGGGGTGTTCAATGCCCAGCTCACCTGGCCTGATAGAAATGTGGTCTTAGGAGAATAGAGAAATTAATTCATTAGGGCCCTTGAGAGTTGCTTGATACTTCAGTGGCTTTTCTAAATATCATGATGGGGCTGATCTTTATGTAAGGTAGAAGAGTCTCTAACAGATCTGGATGATTTAGACTGGCATATAAACTGAGTTTATAAGGAACCAAAGCACTCAGGAGGAGATGAAAAATTTTGTAAAGATATTAAAAAGAAAAAAAGACAGTGGATCCTATCAAAGTTGCTCAAAAGTGAATGTGATTTTACTTTTGTAAAAAAGATTTTTATTGAGCTGGAGTTCCCAAGTAGAAAATATACTTAAGACGGATTTTTTTTTTTTTTTTTTTTTTTTTTTTTTTTTTGGTTTTTCGAGACAGGGTTTTTCTGTGTAGCTTTGCGCCTTTCTGGAACTCACTTGGTAGCCCAGGCTGGCCTCGAACTCACAGAGATCCGCCTGGCTCTGCCTCCCGAGTGCTGGGATTAAAGGCGTGCGCCACCACCGCCCGGCAAGACGGATGTTTTAAAAGGACATTTTAGCTGCCACATGTGGCCAACAGACAATTTGCAGCCATGGTGCAATGCCTAGAGTCTCTCAGACTCCAAGATACAGGTCCAGATGTGGGAGGAACAAGCTAGGTCATAACTTTGCTCCCTCTTAGTTATTAGGTATGTCAAGCAGTATGAGCCAGCCCTGCCATGACCATCATGGGTAGAAAGCTATGTCATAGCCATACAATTGTGCCCCAGGATGAGAAGGCTTAAGGGTTGTTAGTGGAAAGTGACTATGAATCATGGACGCCTAGATGGAATGAGGTCCTCATCTACACCACTGTATCTAACATTCTTCTTCTGATAAAACAGTTAATGTA